GAGAAAGGGTCACCGGACCCGAAACGTTAACTCTGTTTTCTCCTTCACAGATGCTGCCAGACCTGCTGAGCTTTTCCAGCAACTTTGTTTTTGTTGCTGCTGAGAACTGCTGTTTCACAGCATTGTTGATGGTACCTACCATCATCACTGGATGGTACCTACCATCATCACCAAATTGTCGATTAGTTGCCATGTTGTAACACTACTGGAACAGCTTGGTAGGTGTACAACACGTTCTGGAGCCCATGTCTTCAGTACTATTGCTGGAATGTTATCAGAGCCCATTGCTTTTGCAGTATCCAGTGCTTCCAACTATTTCTTGATATATTTGGAGTGAATTGAATTGGCTGAAGATTGGCATCTACAATGTTGGGGACGTTTGGACGTGACTGAGAGGGATCATTCACTCAATGTCATGATGTTTCTGGCCCATGGAAACCAAGAAAGTCATAGGTTCAGTCATGGCAATGAAGAATGTGCCACAATTGGTCACAGTATTCTTGCTTTGGGAAATCTGAAAGGACACTGTCCATACCTTCTCATCCAAGTAAATGGATGGCCCTATACTAGATGTGCCCATTGGTGCATTGGATAGAATATATTTACATTGTATTAACATCACGGAAGTAGGTCATTGGCATCACAGGCCCAGGATAATGCTTAGGCCCATGCAAGCCTCTTCTTACTACCCTCATCTAATCCTATGAGCACATTCTGTTCTGTTCTCCTCTTGTACGATCTAGTTTAGCCTTGAACATGTCTGCACTATTTGCAGTGACGAATGTTTGAAAACATGGGCATTCATACAGAGGACATAAGAAAATTAGGTGTGTAGATGACAAAGAAGATTTTAGGGTGCATGACTGTGCTGTGGGGATGATAAGTAGTTGGATTGTGCTGATACTGTGTTAGGTGACTGTATAATTGTATTATCACTAGACTGTAAATTCGGCGACCTAGGGACGAATCCTGCCATAGCAGATGGTGGAACCTGAATTCAGTAAAAACCTGGAATTAAGAGTCTAATGATGAAACAATTGTTGATTGTCAGAAAGATTCATCTGATTCACTAAAGTCATTTAGGAAGGAAACTGAATGTCGTTACATGTCTAACCCATATATGACTCTAGACCCACAGCAATGTGATTGGCTCTTAACTGCAGTTTGGATAATTAGGAATGGGGAATAAATACTGACCTACTCAGTGATGCTCACATTCCACAAGTGAATAAAACGTGATCTCATGTAATTAATTTATATCAGGCAAGTAAGGTAAGCATTCAAAGTTAAAGCTAGCCATGACTTGTGAGAGGTTTTATCTCTATAATCTTATCATAAATAATATAATTTTTTTTGAAATCTGAAATGCACATTTTCTTGTGATCTTCTACAGGAGCTATTCAAGAATATACTAGGTCTTTAAATCTTGTGAACAGGAAGTTACCTTTTGGTTTGGCAGAAATTGGAGTGTGTTATCAACCCTCTCCTCCTAGCAAACACCCAACTGCATGTAATACAGTAAGGTGAGAGATGTAATTCAAGATACATTGGATTCATGTTTAGTGCGTCATTGATTAGCTGTAAAATGCCATCTCTTTATCACAAACGTAAAACTATTATTTTTCTTAAAGGTCTGTCAGCAGTGGTGAATCTGTGCTTGACCTTCTCTATTGCTGCAATGTTTTCAATCATTTGGATATCACAGGGGATCCCTGATTTATGAATGTCCTATTTACAACCTTTCATACTTACAAGCGAGATCCCCTATTAGTATTAATTTTAAGGATCTGACATACACACATTCACTCATACTCACAAAGGGATATTTTATATTCTACTGTATTGTGTTCTGATTTGCATACAAATTGATTTACAGATTTACTCAGGAACGGAACCTGTTTTTACCTGGTAATTGCCTGTATGTTCCAACTTTTATATTCTATGCTTCTTGCTCTAAACCATGTTGTTTCTTTAGGATCTTGGTCACTTGATTTGCAGCTTCTAATTTATTTTAAACGCCCACATTGCTTTCATGTTCTACATCACCTAGGTTTTCCAATTCACAATGCTGCTTTTAGTTTTATAACCAAAAGGTGTACCACCTTTTATAATTACTAATATTGAATTGGATCTGTCACCATCTTATTAATATTCTCTTGCAACGTTTTGGTGGTCTTCAACCAAAGGATGCAACATATGGAGAAGAAAAAGGAGTGTGGTGAGAAAGTCAATGCGCAAATTAAAAATATTAGTTCAATGATAGAATTCAAATGTAAATTACAAATTAATTGCCCCTGTTATTTTCTCATGGTTTTAATTTCCCATTACTTTAAAGAACGGGGGAGGTGGAAATTGTATCGCTGGTATGGTTTAGTTCTCCTCGGACTTCAGGCCAATGGCTAGACTACTGGATACGCCAACGTTTGCTGTGGTGGAGAAAGGTAACAATGATTGTTTTTACTGGAATACAATTTATTAGAGATTTCTATTCACTCCATTGCTCTAATATTAAAAATGGTGCAACATATTGACATTATATTTGAAGATACAGTTCAGCTGCAGGGATAATTGACTAAATATTGTCAGCATCCTTCTATCTGGGTCAGATACTGGACATGCAGTAAATCAAATCCACTGGGGATCGGGTATCTTCATGCAGTGCATTTTTGCAGATGGCTGAAGAGACTAATTCATGTGAAATAGATTCTACCACAACTGCTATCTGTGAAATGATTTACCAGTGTTGTGGGTTGTTTTTGACATTAACAGCTTGACATCATAGGTGATACCATCATTTTCCTCTGTCATCAGTTTCTCCCAGGTGTGAAAATCAATATACTCTGTCTTCAAATCACACTTGCGAGCACCTTTAAGTAGAGCTTTGAGCATCCGACTAGTATTCTGGTTCTGGCTACCTTGCCTTGCAGAAAGTTCTTGGTGATGTTAACATCTTCCATTCTGTGACCATGTCCAAGCCAATGAAGGAGTCAGAGTCTAACACAGTGTGGAGCTGGAGGAACACAGCAGATCAGGCAGCATCAGAGGAGTAGAAAGTTGATGTTTTTGTTCGGGACCCACCCAAAATGTCAACTTTCCTACTCCTTTGCTGCCTGATCTGCTGTGTTCCTCCAGCTCCACACTGTTAGACTCTGAATCCAGCATCTGCAGTACTTGCTATCTCCTAGTGACTTATAACCCCACTGAGAAGCCTCTTCCGAGGATGCCCGCCTTGAAGAAGTTGTCCTCCTCCCTCCAGAAAGACCTTAGTGAGTTCTGAAGAAGGGTCCCGACCCGAAACATCAACTTTCCTACTCTTCTGTTGCTGCCTGACCTGCTGTGTTCCTCCAGCTCCATGTTGTGTTAGACTCCAAGCTAATGAAATTGCCTTTGCATATTGTGTGCCAAAATACATGGAAACTTTACCTTTATGATGATTTGCATGAAATTATTTTCCATACTCGTAATTAATTCACCAAATGTGATACTGATAAATTTTTCTGCACCAGTGTGAAGGTGCAAACCTGAAATTTAGCCAAACATGGTAATTTAATATATTAAACTTCACACAGGTTTATGTCTTCAAGTGAAAAAAAATTGATTCTGTCCATTTTGTGCTTGGAATTTTGCACTAACCAATTTCTGACCCATGGTTACTTATTTTTGTATTGGGCAGGAAATCTATAAGATAATAGCTATATTGTTAGTTGTTGCCTAACAGTCTTCCTAAGTTTTATTCTGTAAGTGTTATTTGGTTGCCTTTTAGTTTGCCAAAAATCCATCCAATTTTACAGCTGGTGATTTCCAGGATCATGATGGAACTAAAGGAGCAGCCCTGTATTTCAGTTTTCCATGGGGAATGGAACCAATTGAGAAGCTGCTAAATCTAGGAGACAAGGAACTCGTGCTTGAGCACCATGGAAATAAAACAAACATAAAAGTATGAGTACAAAACTTTCTTTATTTGTAGTGTAAAATGTGTAATTAAATAATGCTAAATTCTGCACAGAACATCTTTATCTTTTCAAAATAGTTGCCTAAGATAGTTGTTATAGATTTCAAGTTGGATATCTTCCCGTTACTACCCGCATTTGCTAAATTAGCTGATCTCACCAAGAGTAACCTACTAAATAGTGGGAAATAAGTCAGCAAGGTTTGTTGCTTTTTTTTTTGAGCAATTTCGGTTGCATGGTGTGTGTGTGGGTCACCAGTAAGAACAATTTGAGAAGCGAGTATTAACTATTGATATGGATGTCCTGTTCTGTGAGTGTCTATGGAGCTTTTTGCACACTTTTGGTCATTTGATACAAAACTAACATTTCAGTCAAGGTCATGAGTTCAAGTCTCAATCCATGATTTGAGCATATTATCTAGGAACATAGAAACAGGAGTAGGCCATGCAATCCATGAAGCCTGCCCCACCATTCATATGATCAAGGCTGATCAAACATTTCAATGCCTTTCACATACCCTATAATCCTGTACATAACTGGCAATAAGAAATCTATCAATCTCTACCTTAAACATATTCAAAGATGGAATTTCTGTGGCAGAGAATTCTAAAAGTTCACAATGGCCTGAGTAAATAAATGTCTCCTCATCTTCAACCTATTGGCATGTCTCTTATTTTTAAATTATGCACTTTGGTTCTAGACTCCCCAACCAGGGGAAAAAAGTCTTATCTCTGTCTACCTTTTGTTTAAGTTCAATTAAATCATCTCTTATTCTTTGGAACTGTAAAGCATACAGGCCAAGTTTGACCAATCTTCATAGGACAATCCTGTCATTCTAAGAACTAAGTCTGGTGAAGCTTTGTTGCACTCTCTATAGTAATCATAGCGTTATTGGGATAAGGAGACCAAAACTGAACACAATACTCCAGAAACTGTCTAAACAAGTTCTGTATAACAGAAGCAAGACTTAACTACTCCCGTACCCAAGTCCTCTTGTAATAAAAGCTAATGTCCCATTTGTCTTCCTTGTGGATTGCTAGGTCCCTTGGTATATCTGCACTTTCCAACTTCTTACTGCATAAGAAATATTCTACATATCTGTTTCTCCTATTAAAGTGAATAACCTCACATTTTTCCATGTTATTCCACCTTCCATGTTCTTGCCCATTCACTAACCCTGTCCGAATCTTCCTCTCAGTACACATTCCCACATGGCTTTGTATCATCTACAAGTTTGAAAATATTACATTCGGCCCTCAACTCCAAATCACTGATATATATTGTAAACTGCAGGAGTCCAAGTACTAGGCCTTGCGGTACCCCATTAATCACAGCCTGCCGTCACAAGGATGATCCAATTGATCCGATTCTCTGTTTTCTGTCTATTAGCCAATCATTAATCCAGACCAGTCCATTACCTCCTTTCCATGTGCATTAATTTTTCTAATCAGCCTCCTATGGGGGACTTTATCAAAAGTCTTCTGAAAGTCGAAGTATACTATGTCTGTCCTTTATCAATTTTGTTAATAACATCTTCAAAAAAGTAGTCATAGAAGCCTTAAATGCAGAAAGAGGCCACTTGTCTCATCAAGTCTGCACCAACTAACATCGCATGGTGGTTTTACCATGGCTAACCCACCTAACCTGCCCATCTTTGAACAGTGGGAAGAAACTGGAGCACCTGGAGGAAACCCATGCAGACATGTGGAGAATGTGCAAACTCCCCACGGAAAGTTGCCCAAGGCTAGAATCGAACCCAGGTCCCTGGCACTTTGAGGCAGCAATGCTTGCTACAGCGCTACCCTTCAACAGCTCCAACAGGTTTGTCAAACATGATTTCCCACTCAAGTCCTTGGTGACTATGCTCAATCAGATCATTGTTGACCAAGTTTCTATTTATCCTGTCCTTTAAGATAGAATCTATGTTTTATCTAATACTGATACAAGGCTGATAGGTCTGTAATTGTCTGTTTTCTCTGTCACTTCCTTCTTAAATAATTGGGCGACATTGCTACCTTCCAATCAATAGAAATCATTCCAGAATCTATAGAATTTTGGAAGAGAATTACCAATGCTTTGTCAATCTCTAGAAACATCTTCAACAGCCTGGGATGTAGATCATCTGGTCCTGAGGGTTTATCAGCTTCTAGACTCACAAATTTCTCCAGTTTAGTCTTCATATTCATGACAGTTTCTTCAACCCTCTTTCTCCTTAGGCTCTTGGATCTCTAGTTCTGGGAATCTCTGGTATTTTCCTTAGTGAAGGCAGACACAGAATAATAATTTAGCTTCTTTCCCATTTCTCTATTCCCCATTATAAATTCCCCTGACACCATCTCTAATGGACCCACATTCATTGTAGCCAAATGTCATTTTTATATGCCAATAGAAGCTCTCACTTTTTTGCTAGATTGTATTGATATTCAATTCTCCATTTTCTTATTGGTCCTCCCATTGTTGTATTCTATAAACTTCCCAATCCACAGAATTACTGTTATTTCTGGCAGTATTATAGACCATTTCTTTAACCTTAAACAATCCTGAACTTCCTTCATTAGTTATAGTTGACTGACCACTGAGTTTCTGCATCTTGAAGAACTATATACTTCTTGAAAGACTACCCATTGCCTATGTTCAGTCATGTATAGGTCTGCAGCACACATTGCCTGCTATATTTGCCCATTAACCACAACTAACAGGGAGATGGTGGCCTGGGACTATTATCACTGGATTCATGGCCTGGTGTATGTCCCGCATGACCATTACCATCAAGTCAGTGGATCAACCCTGGTTCGGTGGAGAATGCAAGAGGGCATGCCAGGAGCAGCATCAGGTATACAGAAAAATGAGGTCTCAACGTGGTGAAGCAACCAAATAGGACTACTTGCATAGCAAACAACATAAAGAGCTAGTCATAGACAAAGCTAAGCAAGTCCACAACCAATGGATCAGGTCTAAACTCTGCTGTCCTACCACATCAGTTGTGAATGGTGGTGGGTAATTAAACACCTCACTGGAGGGGAAAGCTCCACCAATATCCCGTCCTCAATGATGGAAGAACCCAACACAACAGTACAAAAGATAAGGCTGAAGCATTCACAGTAATTGTCAGTGAGAAGTGATGGGTGGATGATCCATCACAGCCTCCGCCATGGTCTCTGGCATTGTAGATACCAGTTTGCAGCCAAGAAAAAAAGGGATGGAGGCAGTGGATAGTGCAAAGGCATTGGCCCTGACAACATTCTGGTGATGGTACCAAAGATGTGCTCCAGATCTTGGCGTTCCCTTAGCCAACCTTCTCCTGTACATTTACAACATTGGCATCTACCCAATGATGTGGAAAATTGCCCAGGATGTCCTGTACACAAAAGAACAGAACAAATCCAACCCAGGCAGTTACTGTCCAATCAGTCTTCTCTTGATCATCAGTAAAGTGATGGACAGTGTCATCAACAGTGCTACCAAGCAGTATCTGCTCAGCAATAACCTGTTCAGTTACACTCAGTTTGGGTTCTGCCAGGGCCACTCAGCTCCTGATCTCGTTAGAACCCTGATTCAAACATGGACAAAAGAGCTGAATTCCAGAGGTGAGGTGGGAGTGGATAGTCCGTGACATCAAGGAGTCCTAGCAAAACTGGACTCAATGGGCATCGGGGGCCAACTCTCCAGTGGTTTGAGTCATACCTGGTAAAAAGAAGATGGTTGTGGTTTTTGGAGGTCAGTCATCACGATGACTCAGATATTGAAGTAGTCAATGTTCAACTGCAATAAGATTTGGACAATATCTAGGCTTAGTCTGACAAGTGGAAAATAACATTCATGCCACACATATGTCAGGCAATGTCAGTCTCCATTAGGAGGCAATCTAGCCACCACTCGACATTCAATAGTGCTACATCACAGATTCCCCAACTATCAACATCCTTGGGGTTACCATTTACCAGACACTCAACTAAACTCACCACAGAAACACAGTATCTACAAGAGCAGGTCAGAAGCTGGGAATATTGCAACTAGTAACTCACCACCTGACTCCCAAAAGCCTGTCCACCATCTACAAGGTGCAAGTCAGGAATGTGATGGACTATTCCCACGAATGCATAGGGACAGTTCCAACAGCATTCATGAAGCTTTGACACCATCTAGGACGACTCAGCCTGCTTGATTGGCACTACATCCACAAACATCCACTCCCTCCACCACCAATGCTCAGTAGCAGCAGTGTGCACTATCTACAAGATGCACTGCAGAAATTCAGTAAAGATCCTCAGACAGCACCTTCCAACCCCATGACCACTTCCATCTAGAAGGGCAAGGGCAGCAGATGCATGGGAATACCACCACCTGCAAGTTCCCCTCCAAGCCACTCCCCATCCTAACTTGGAAATATTTTGTTGTTCCTTCACTGTCACTGGATCAAAATCCTGGAATTCCTTCCCTAGTGGTGTTGTGGTTGTACTACAGCACGTGGACTGCAGAGGTTCAAGAAGGCAACTAGGGATGGGCGATAAAAGCTGGCCAGCCAGCAATGCCCACATCCTATCAGTGAATTTAAAAAAAATAACCTGACAATCATTTTCAGTGAAATATTTTGGAACATTTGATACTCATAATAAGGCATTTTGTGAATCAAAGTTCTTTGCTTTAACCATGGCAAGAATGAGTGATTTTAGAAGGTGAGTAAAGATGTGATTTTGCAATGGGACATACAGTGCCTAATAAATGTGCCCACGCTAATCAGGATTTACTTATTTCCAAAAGGGTCGAGATGGGAGGAAGACAGTCATCCCACATGTTCTGTCAGTGAGTGGGAATCTGGACCGGGGAGCGATAGCCCTTTTGTTTGATGCGCTGCAACTGACTAAGAATGTAGATTCAAAACAAAAATTCAACCAAAAGAAGGTATGTTATTTTGTCAAATGCTTTGAATTAAAGTAAAATACAGTAAACTGTTTGTTTCTTCAATAATTTTTATGTGTGGAAAACATGCTTAGCAAAAAGACACCAATAGGTAACTTCTAGACTAAATTTGAATGTCTTTTTCCTCTTCCTTTAAGTCTCATTTGTGTACATCATCTCCTGGTTTCAATGAAAAGTATTTTCTCTCCTGTCTCTGGCAACACATGCTTTTTAAATATTTTGTTTGGATTTCTGCAAAGTATCTTGCTGTACTTCTGTAGTGATTGTAATGAGGTCAACCAAGTGGACATCCTAGAAATATGAGTTGCATGATTGGACCAGGCTAACAGTCCCAATTAGGGAACCCTGTCTGACAGATACAAACAGGAGTGTCAGAGATCCTGTTCACTCTAAGAGCTGGCTCTGCGGAAGCCAGACCAGTATCAAGTGCTATGCATGTGTAAATAAAGGGTGACTCGGTGATGGGATACCAGCCTCTCTGGAGTTATTTCAGTGCTGATAAGAGAAAAAAAATGCTCCTGAAGGAAATTGTTTGCAACAATCATCTTTGAATTGTGGTGAGCATTTCTGGCATCATGCCGTTATTTGGGAAGCTTGACCCATTTGATCCTGCCATCGAAGACTGGGCCAGTAGGTGGAAAAAATTGGTTATTTTTTCTGGGCAAATAACATTAGGGCAGATGAAAAGTAATGAGTAATTCTCCTGACAGCTTGTGGACCCACAGATTTTTTGGTTATCAGGAAACATTAGGCTCTTAAAGCACCGGATACTAAAATCTTTCAAGAGTTGATGGATTTAGTTAAGGAATATAACAATCCCAAGCTACCTCTAATTCTGAGATTTTTATCAGTTTTACTGGGTAGTTCAAGAAGCAGGGGTATCCGTAATCAGGATTTTTGAGGTTAAGACAACTAGTAGAGGCATGTGACTTTGGTTTAATCCTTAATGAGGCGCAGAGACCGTTTGATATGAGAGATTAATGATGTAACCATGCAAAAGCGCTTACTAGTTGAAGTCCGATTTGACTTCAAATGGGCACTATACTTGCCTTTGTCAACAAAAATGCGGCAAGTGGAGCATGAGAGTTAAAGGATGTGCCATTTTCAGCGGATGATGGAGGACATTTTACAAATCTACCCCAGGATACCATTTATCTGGATGACATGTTAATAACAGAAAATACCAGTAAAGAGCAGTTAGAGAACTTGGCTGGGTAAACGCTGGACTCAGTTACACGATGATTATGCCAGCCTTTTCATGGGCTCAGTGTTCTTAGTTATTGTGGATGCCCACTAAAAGTGGCTGGACATGCGTGGAGTTCATCCATCAAACAACGGGATGACGATAGAAAAGCCGCAAGCATCTTTTGTAATACAAGGCTCCTGGAAGTATTAGGTCACTGACAACGGGTTATCATTTGTCAGCAGAGATTTCGAGTATTTCCTAAAGTTGAATGACGTTTGGCAGATAAGGCCAGCTCCATACCATTCAGCATCTAGTGATCTGGCAGAAAGAGCAGTTCAAACTTTGAAGGCAGGCTTAAAGGAACAGCCTACAGCTTCTCTCAATACCAAACACTTTCGGTTCCTATTTGATTATCGGACCACCCCTCCTGCAACTACAGGGACAGCTCCAGCAGAGTTGCTAATAGGGAGAAGACTCTGCATCGGATTAAATCTGACCTTTCCTGACCTGGGGAAGGGGGAGGGTAAACAGCATCAGGAATGCCAATGCTGAACATAAGACTCCACTAAGTGAGAGACACTGTTTACTTCAGGGTCAAAATTTGATGTCAAAGTCACTGAAGTGGCCCTGCGTTGTTAAGAGATAGTAACTGACCTATCCCCTCCCTAACTCCCCACCTACACTCACCTTTACTGGTTCCACCCCCGCCTCTTTGACCTGTCTGTCTCCTCTCCACCTATCTTCTCCTTTATCCATCTTCTATCCGCCTCCCCCTTTCTCCCTATTTATTTCAGAATCCCCTTCCCCTCCCCCATTTCTAAAGAAGGGTCTAGGCCCGAAACGTCTGCTTTCCTGCTCCCCTGCTGCTTGGCCTGCTGTGTTCATCCAGCTCTAAACCTTGTTATCTGCATTAAGAGGCAGGTCCTGTGACATACAAATTCAGGTAGGTGAAACAATCCTGATCAAGCACGTGGACCACATGAAAGCTGCAAACAGGGCAGAAGCAAAACATACCTGACCTCTTAGAATAGCCAAAAATGCTGTTTGAACCCATGGTCACTGTGTACCACAGTGAGGTCCACCAGCTCCCACATGTTGTAGCTACAACACTTTGCCTACACCTGTATCTCTATTAAGTTAGATTTTTAAATTTTTTTTAGTTTTAGCTTAGTTTCCAATCTGTAAATATTTAGCCTTTAATTTGAACACAAATTATAATAGATAAAAGAGAGAAATATTCACTTAACAATCACTTACCTGTGATGTCACACTGTTCACTTAATATTGCAGGACTGCAGTGGCTTATCCCTCAGCTCTCAGGCTTTGATCTGTGGAAGTAGTTTGGGAAAACAAGACACGGCAATACCCTCCCTCCTCCACTTCACTGAACTCCCAGGTTCCACTCTTTGCAGCTTGCACTCTTGCATTTTTGTATGTTTTGTAGGATCCCACCTCATTCTTCGCAACTTCAGAGAAGGTGCTATTATCACTTTCTTGATAATTGTTTTTAGCTTTTCCTTTAATTCCCTGTTTTCTTTCTTCTTCCTTTCTGGAATGGTAGTGTTATATTTGCAAACTTCCAACTCACTCATTTACTCCAAAGCATCCTATTCTACTCAGCCTGTTATCCCAGAAATCAATTTAGGAAACCTTCATTGCAGTCCTTGTAAGGCAAGTGGGTAAATCATCACAAATTACCTTGAATTTGGCTATTTATTAAGAAACTTCAGACAATCCAGTACTGACACAATGATTTAAACTTTATTGCATGTAGCAACCCAAATAAGACCTGTCAAATAAGGAAGTGAAGCACCACAACCCACTTGGCTTTTACCCAATTAATAGTGGAACTTGGCCACGTTTCCACCAACAGTGGTCTGTTTATGGAAGTGTCCAAGGTTTGATTCTTATGCAAAGTTGTTCTGCGTTGTTCTGCAGAGTTCTGCTTTGGGTGGAGTTCTGGTGTTCGATACTTGTACAAATTTTCATCCTTCACGTCTATAAGGTGATTGGTTCATTTTTTTTTTAAGTCCTTTCACCCAGAAGTAGCTTCTTTGTTCCTTGTCAAATTTGATCTTAATTTGTTTGAAGACAAAGCTGCGCAGTAGTTAACTCCTTAAATCTGTCTGCAGGGCAATCCTTGTCCCTTGTAGCAATAAAGCATCCAGTTTATCAAGTGGGTGTCAAAGCAGTTTTGTTCATGTAGCCTCTATTCCTTTTGCATGACATGGCTAATTGCTTTCAATTCCTGTATAGGTTTATCCTTGTCCTTTAGTAGTTTATTCCAGACAGAGTTTTGCTGCTTCTTTCTGCATATAACAACAATCTGTTTATTCATTCAATCCATGAACAGTTATTAAAGTTCTGAAGTTTATAATATCATAGTATCCATCCAAAACCGTATTCTGTACTCTAGGTATGATTTCACCAAAACTCTGTACAATTACAGAAAGAGTTAATCCCAAGGACACTTAAATCATTCTGAAGACCAGCGTTTAATGGTTTTTAAAAGAGCAAGTAGAGTTGAGGCCAGAATCAGATCACCTATTGTCTTATCATTGTTGAAGCTTGTTTGAGGGCTGAATGGTCAACATCTGTTTTGTATGTATACATATCTGTATGTTCTTTTGCAGACTTGTTCACCATTAAGACCTTTTTGAAAAAGGCACAGGAGTAGACTGCTGGACCCGTCTAGCCAGCTCCACCATTCAATGAAATCATAGCTAATCTAACATTCTTCATATCCACTTTCCTGCATCACCCTTGATTCCCCTACTGATGGAGAATCTATTTCAACCTTAAATATAAACAACGAGTCTGCCCCCAAACCTCTCTGTGGCAAGGGGTTCCAAAGACTCAACCTTCTGAGAGAACAAATTGCTCCTCATCTCAGTATTAAATTGGCTCCCCTTTATTCAGACTATGCCCTCTAGTCCTCAACTCTCTCATGAGGGGAAATACCTCTCAGCATTTAGCTACAAACAGCTTATCTTGCCAAACCCCTTAAGAATCTTGTGTTTCAATGCAATCACCTCTCATTCTTCGCCACTCCAGTGAGTAGAATCCCAACCAGTTTAGGCTTTGCTCAGAAGACAATCTCTCCACACTGGGGATCATCCTAGTGAATCTTCGCTGAATGGCCTCCAAAGAAATGTTCCAGCGCAACATTGCATTATAGAAAATCATACTACAAAAATAATGGGGCCTATTGGAAAAGTGGGGTTAGGGGCAGACCACCAAAAAATATCACTCAAAATTCTTCCTCTCTGCTCTCCCAGAAGTATTGGTGCCACATCTGTCATTTGTGTGAGCCTTGACACTTACAATCAAATAAAATCTATTCACCTGCAACACAGTCTGCATCACAGCCTAGCCCATTGCTGACCTGACCTGACATTCCATCAGCACAGACCTCTGGATAGTTTTTCAGATGAGTGAAGCAGAGGAATCTGACCTTTCTTTCCTATGTAGCCCATTGACATTGAAGTTAATTGTAGGATTAAAATGTGTTATAAACCTGAGTAGTGCTGGAAAAGAGCAGTTTGTGACGCAGAAAAGTTTTGGTTAAATAATTTACATGAGCAAGTTCAAAAGTTCTTACATGTTAAATATGTTACAAAATCTAGGCAAAAATACTACACACAAAGGTGCATGTTTTAACAGCACTCATTATTTTAAACTATACTTCATTTTTTTGCATTTAATGCATAAACTCTTCAAACTAAGACTTCACATATTTTCCTAATTAGTTGTTCTTTGTGTGACATTATATTTGAGGTTTATGACATACAATCCAATTACATTTTTCAAATGAGCTCATTATGATTTACTCTGAACATTTACACCATCTGCAAGGATCGAAAAAAGAAATTTTCCTTTGACAAAGTCCGCGATGTTGAATGTTTACTCGATGGAATCGTGTTATAGCCAACACAAGTGTGCGTTTTAGAAATAGCATTCCCCTATTCGTCAGTCACGTTATAGCCAATTCGCGTTGCTGGAACGCACATTATAGCAGAACCTTCTGTACGCCAGATGTGGTCTCACCAGTACTTTATACAGTAGTAATAAGACTTGCCTACTCTCGTACACAAAGCCCCTTGAAATAAGAGGCAACATTCCATTGGCCTTCCTGATTACCTGCTACGTCTGTGCGCTAGCTTTTTGTAGTTCCCCAGGTCCTCTGGTATTGCAGCTTTCTGCAATTTTTTTCTCCATTTAGATAATGCTATTCTTTCATTCTCACTTCCAAAATGAAAAACTTCACATTTTCAATGCCAACATTTTGCCCTCTTACTTAACCTATCAAAATCTCTCTGTAAACTGTTTGTATCCCTGCCTTTTAATGTATTTTTGTGTGGTCTGCAAATTTAGCTACACTACATTCACTTCCTTCCTCCAAGTCATTGTAAACAGTAGTGGTCCCAGGACTGATCCATGGGGAACCCAGTTGGTCACAAGTCACCAGTCTGAAAAAGGACCCCTAATCCCCACTCACTGTTTCCTGTTCATCAGCCGACTCTCTGCACATGTCAAGACACTACCTCCAACACCATCTTATAACCTTTTGCGAGATACCTTGTTGAATGCCTAACAGGTTACTTTTAGCCCAAATACGTACATAAAGTGCCGGTGAAATTCAGCAGACATCTGTGGAGAAAGAAGGAGAATTAACATTTTGAGTCTGATATGACTTTTCTTTAGGATATCTACCACCGCTTTGGCTGGGGGTAAAAAAGGCAGTCCCTTTAACCAGCACTTTGTTCTTATTTCAGATTTCCAGTGTCAGCATATTTTGTTCTTTGGAACTGGTTACTTTAGTTCAGTACTTTCCCACCTAGCTTTGTACCATAAAACTTGGATATGTTATACATTGTCCTTCATGTAAAATGTAGATGAGCATTTATTCTTATGGCTCTCCACTCGTAGTGGTCTATCAACCTGAAAATTATTAGGTTATTCGGATAATGTTTTCATCTAATAAGTCCAATTGCGTAAGTCCATATTGTGTGCAACTATTGTTTTGTGTCACACTTTATTGAATGCCTTTTTAAAATCTAAATATACAATTTCTAATGGTTCTTCATTATTTTCCCTGCTAGTTGTGACCTTAAAAAGCTCTAGTAGATTTGTCTAATATGATGTATTTTTCATAAAACTTGACTTGGCCTAATCATTTATGATTATCTAAGTGCCCTATTAACACATGCAACTAGCCTTTAGTTCTCTGTTTTCTCTCTCACTCCTTTCTAGAATGACTGTTACATTTGCAACTTTCCAATCTGCTCAAATATTAATTAGTTATGTAAAGTTACTGGTACTTCTACAACCTGTTAACCCATTGTTTGTGCACAATCAGATGTCTTGCAATTATCAAGTTTTGCTCATTTCAGATTGGATGAGATAGAGATTTAAGCTGATTCAAATTTATTTATGCAGTCTGAGACTTCCTTATACAGAAGGCAAAAACAATGAAATAGTTCTTAAAATAGTTGTTAAATAATGTTGTTATTACTCTGCTCCACTTACTTTATCAAAACAAAAAATAGTGGAGATTGTAAGTAATAAAGGAAAATTGCAAAAGATATTTTAATAACCAAAAGAATATCCAACTCCGTTGGGAGTCTTTCTATCAAATCTTCCTTCTGCACTCACCTTCGAAATTTGATGTTTGAAGCTACAGCTTTCTCTGTCCTCACAGGACTTGTTTCTGGTTCTCAGCATAGCTTTCTGTTTTCGCATTTTGCTACATATTGTCAATGTAGACTTTCAGGTTATGCTACCTGAGACTTTTTCTGCCATACTATATACTACCATTGTGCTTCTAATTTAAATATTGTTATTTAATAGTGGTTTGTCAATTTGATTGATCAAAAATCCCCTGCGGGGGGGCATGGAACACTGAATGATGCGCGTCTCCCTCTCCCCAAATCAGCTGTTTCAGTGCAATGTTAACTTTGGGGATGGTGTCACCTCACACCAGAACAACTTCCAATGTTTGCTGTAGCAATTAGAGATATTTTGGCAAACATTATAATGAATACTTTTTTCATAGGGTTCAGCAATGTTACAGACTTGATAGCGAAACCACGAAACCGCTAGATGACAGGAACTGAAACGCCGGAGGCATTTTTTTGCAGCTAAATTTAACAAATATATTGCTGAAATGTACAAAAACAGGTGTACACTGAAGGCAACTTGCAAAATAAATAAGCAAAATTTTTTTTTTTTTAGCAGTTCTGTGCCTATAAGCTAGTTTTGGGTCATTTTTAAATTGGACTGTTGGTTTTCTTTTCTCACTAGTTTGCCAGTGCTATCTAGTAAGTTAATGCTCCTGTTTAAACATTTTCTTTGTGTGTTTGCCGAAAATAATGTCACATCTGTTCCACTTTTAGGTGCTAAAGCTTCATCCACAGTTAGCCCCAATTAAAGTGGGTTTGGACATGGACAAGGGACCTACAGTTGAGTTGCGTCAGGTATGATTGTGAAGAACTCCAGAAGCCATGAAAACATGCCACTGATCAACTGTGCTCCCTGTTGGTTTCGGTTGCATAACTTGCTTTGTTCAAATCAAGCTGCAGTCACGTGGCCTTGCAACATCTGTTGCAGTGTTGTGAATTTTTAAACTATGTTTGAATCTGTATGACATATTTGTATTCAGTACTAAAGCTGTCATCAGTGAGGGCCTTTTGCTGGGTGTGCTTTTGGAACCTGGACACAGGCTGTCTAAACTACAATTTGTGATCATGCTGCACTGTAGAATAGTTTACACATAAACGAGAATAGTTCTTGGTGGGGCAAAGGTGGTGGGGGGTGGGGGGAAACATTTTTTTTTTTATTCACACGATGTGGACAACACTGGCCAGGCCAGCATTAATTGCCCAGAGGGCAGTTAAGAGTTAACCACATGTGTGCCAGACTTGGATAAGGACAGCACTTTCCTTCCCCAAAGAATGTTAATGAACCAGATGGGATTTTTCCAACAATTAACAGTGGTTTCATGGTTATTGTTAGACTCTTAATTCTGGATTTTTATTGAATTCACATTCCACCATCTGTCAGGGCAGGTTTCGAACTTGGGTCCCCAAAGCATTACCCGGGTTTCTGAATTAGTAGTCTAGTAATATTACAACTAGTCCTCACCCTAAGCTCAGTTAATTAAGTAATTAAGGAGAAAATGTTATATCATTGTACTGTAAATGATCTTTGGAAATCATTAATTCAATTTAGATACAGCCCTTCTGTGTTTCTAAAGATATTAAATTTATCAGAGCTACCATGAAAAAATTACTGCCCAATATTTCCATTTTCCACTGTGATTAAGAAACTCTCTTCCTAATTATCATGGATTGGTCACACAAATTTATTGTAAATGAAGATTTTATAAAACAGCATGTGGTATGATGATATCACATTTAGCATCTTTATCAATTTATCATTGACAGGTAGACTAGTTCAACAAGACATCACCTGTTTTTTTTTAATCCAAGACCAATTACAGTTAATATGAAAATACCATCTTGAAAAGCCAGCATTTGTAATTTTATGGCATGCTGCAAAGAAAGCTAGAAGACAAACATGTTACTTTAAAATAACTTTTACATTTTTATAAAAAGCTAAAAGAACTGTAGCATATGGAGACACATACCATTAGAAGCCTGAAGATATTGTTAGAGGGTTTTTCTTAAAGCTGTTAAGGCACAACACATTTCTAGGTTGATATTTCAATTTTCCGCCTTCAACTACCTAAAACAGTTTATATCCAACAGCAACCCAACAATGAGTTGATGTTGTTTTAGCAGTTACTTGTGGTCAGAAAAGTTGATCATAAGGCGGCAACATAAGAGGAGGACAACAGATGTGAGACTAGTTGAAAGAGATACCTAAAATAAAGACTGATATTAGAAGAAAAGTTTCTACAGTGTCTCAGTGGTAAATGCCTTAACAAGGATAGCTGACATAACAATGGTGTAATTATAGTGATGTATGTTTGTATGCCCGTTGTACCTTTGAAACGTTAAGGATTGCCATTTTCAAATTATTTTCCTGTCACTCTTGCTGAAAGTTGCCACAGTGTCCCAACTGTAATGCTCTTTAAGGTTAAATAACCTACTGTGTGTATTTGCACATATGGTTTGAAGTACCAATGAGCAAGTAATATATGCATAATTACTTCAGCAAAGAGTAGTACACCAATAAAGAAGAACTTGCATATAGCAAGGAGAACAAAGAATTTCAAAGACCTAAAATAGTTTTGAGAAATCATAAAGCAATTCTTCCCAGATTTTTTCCCTTTGAAACCCCATTTTAAGGCTTTAAAATTATTGTGCCTCCTCCGTAAGACCCTTGAGACTGCGACTGGGGAGGGACCAGAGAGGTTGGGGGCCTGTCTATTGCAGCAGGAGCACAGTTGTTACAAATCAGTCAGAGTTCCACAATGGCCATTACTGCCTTGGAAGTCATGTCCCCAGAATTTCAGCTCACAACCTTATTTGGATTCTGACCCCACTTTGGGAGACCCTGCTGTAAAGTAACTATGCAAAGTTCTGAACTCCATTGTAGCCTTATACATTTACATCAATGCATAGAAAATATCTAGATAGTATATATTTTTTTAAAATTGTGAATAGTTTTGATTGGGTGCAAAATATATAAATTTGTGTGTGGATATATACGCACTGTTTCCACACATTTCCTTTTATCACTTTCAACCCAACATTTTAGCTTAGAATTCAAATATTAGCAAGTCAAAACAACTTTATTACTTTTACAATTACTATATTTACTTTATTAAATAAATTGCAATAATGCCGGATTTGAGTCACATAAGATTTAAAGAGAAAGAATTGGTTAGCATTTTGAGTAGTTTTTTTTCCTGTCAAAAGCAGCTCTTTTCAGGTCTAACCAAAAGGAAAAGGGTTTCCAGCTATTGTCTTGTCTTTAGATGTTCACCTTTTGCTATTTTAGCATTTAGTTCTTTTTTTTAAGGTATGTGAGGGGCTATTCCGCAATATGTTAGAGAAAGGAATCACCGTGTGGCCTGGTTATCTGGAAGCTACGCACCCATCATTGGAGCAGCTAACCATGAAGTAAGAAATATTTTTCCATTATAATTAAATAATTTGATAAGACTCCTTTAACTTAAATAGTTTCTTCTTTATTTGTTCATGAAAAGTGGGAGGTATAGGTAAGACTAATATTTGTGGCCTACCCTGATAACCTTTGAGAAGGTGATGACGACCTGTATTGTTGAACAGCTGTAGTCCATACTGTGCAAGTACACCCACAGTGCTGTCAGAAACTAAGGAGTGGTTCCAAATTTTCAAGCCAGTGACTGTGAGGGAATATTAATATTATTTCAAGTCATAATGTAGTGTGACTTCAAAGGGGGCTTGCAGCTGGTAGTATTATAAAACATCTGCTCATCTATTGAGGTTTTAAAGAAGTTTTCAAAGGAGCCTTAGTGAGTTGCTGCAGCGTATGTTGTAGATGATATATGTCTGTCACTGTGCTGAAAGTGGAGGGAGTGTGGTTCATGCAGTACCAGATTTGTTTAGAATGGTGTCTAGATTCTTGAATGTTGGAACTGCACTTGACCAGGCTAGTTATGAATATTTACATTTAGGTATACCCTTGACTTAGCTTAGTGACTAGTTTGGGAAGTCAGCTAATGATTATTTACTGCAGAATTCCCAGTCTCTGACCTGTTCTTGTAGCCACAGTATTTGTGTGGCTCATCTAGTTATGTGTCTAGTCAATGGTAGGCCTCCCACCTGAGGATATTCAAGATGTGAGATTTGTTGATGGTAACGCTGTTGATCATCAAGTGGAGCAGTTAGATTCACCACTGTTGGAGATAGTCATTGTTTAGCACTTATGAGGTGGGAATATTAGTCATCACACATCAGCAAATTGTCCAATTCTACTAGCTGCATCCAGGCAAAGACTGCTTCACTATCTGGGGTGTTGCAAATAGTACTGAGCACTTGTTGTGGTCCAGACCAGACCACCTCAAAATATTTTAAGAAAGTAGCATAGCCCCTAACTTTTTCTTATTTTAAAGGAAAATGTAAAGTGTCTATGCCTAATGCAATGTAACTGGTCAAACTACTTAATGTTAAGCAAAATACAATTTGTTTAAACACTGTAGTTAAAATACAACCAAAGAAAGACTAATTTTGAATAACTCAACTATATTGGAAAACTTAACAGAATAATAGATACATTAACTATTACTATTTAACTGTTCCAATATAGTAACATCCCATAAACACACCTCTTTGAGGGGGGGGTGCGAGTGGAAAGGAAAATTCAGACACAGATCCTCACATGCAGTTCTCCAATCCAGGAGGGAAAAACGTCGAGAAAAATTAGAGACAGTGGCAGCTAGGACACATTCATTGAAGCTTCTAGCTCTTTTGAGGCCCCAATAGTTTCTGCTTAAAGCTAAAGCTAAACCTAAAAACTAAAAAGCCTCGTCTGAGAGACCTGGCCTAACCCAGGCTGCTTCCATTGTTCCAACTCATTTCTTAAAAAAAACCAAGGCCTCAAGCTGTTCACTCAAGTTGTCTTCAGTAGGCAGCTTGCAATTTCGGCCTTATAACCTCACTTCACAAAAAGGACAAAATAACCTCTTGAAAGCATTGTCACACACTGTGGTATCATCAGCAAACCACCTTTTTTCTGTCATCATGACAAAGCAGCTAAAGATCTTTTGGCCTAAGATTCTAAATGAAGAAACTCTTGCAGGACATCCTGGGACTGATGATTGGCTCAGTCAAAGTAGCTCTACACCTTGTTATCTAAACTACCTGTTTGTTGTTTTACCATTTATGACTCCAACTAGTGGAGAATTTTCTTTCTGATTTCAATTTTTTTCCCCAGTGTTCCAAAACAATGCAACAGCTTATAAACCAGTACAACACTGAAAATATCTCAAAGGAACCGCTCTTACGGCAACAATTTTTTCCTGTCCTCCATCATAGATTACCCAGAACCCTTGTTAGGTCGCTATTGAAATACTGTGTGCAATTCTGGTCTCCCTGCAATTGGAGGGATGTTGTGAAAAGATTTACAAGGATGTTGCCAGGGTTGGAGGGTTTGAGCTATAGAGAGAGGCTGAATATACTGGGGTATTTTCCCTGGAACATCACAGGCTGAGGGGTGACCTTTAGAGGTTTATAAAATCATGAGGGGTATGGATAGGGTAAATAGTCGAGGTCTTTTCCCCGGGGTGGGGAGTCCAAAACAAGAGGGCATAGATTTAAGGTGAGGGGGGAAAGATTTAAGAGGGATCTAAGGGGCAACTTTTTCACATAGAGGGTGGTGCGTGTATGGAATGTGCTGCCAGAGGAAGTGGTGGAGGCTGGTACAATTACGACATTTAAGAGGTATCTGGATGGGTATTATGAATAGGAAGAGATTAATTTAGGATATCTGGTCGGCATGGATAAGTTGGACTGAAGGATCTATTTCCGTGCTGTATATCTCTATGACTCTATAATTGACTTCAGTTTTGATAGGCGTTTTTTGGTGCTGCGTGCTATCAAATGTTACCTTCGTATCAAAGGCAGTCACTCTTTTCGTCTGTAGAATTCAGCTCCTCTGCTGCTATTCAGATCAAGACGTATGGAGGTCATTAACCAAGTGGTCCTGGTGAAACCCAAACATTGGTTATTGCTGTGTAAGTGCTGTTTGATAGTAATCAGCAAAATTCTTAATTCACATTAATGATTGAATTCACATCCAAGCTTTGAGGGTTGTTGTTATGGATCAAGTTGGGTTAGTCTGGGTGCCTCATTTTTCAGCCAGTGGATACATGATAGTCTAAGTGGCCTGTTTCTGAGCCATCAACTTTTTTTGATTCTGTTCTAAGTCAATAGAACTAGCAATAGCCATTACCTAACAGAAGTCCTAGTGTACACATCAGTTGTTGTCACCAGACAACTACAGTGAGACGTGGGCTGTGTATCAGAAATGGCACCAAAATTGCTTCTGTCATATTTTTCAGATTCAAAAGAAGGACTATGTAAGTAAATAAACCCCAGTGTCTTCCTTAAAACCAGCTCTACAAGAATTCTGCAAAATTCCTGTAAATTACCTATGATTGGAATAAGGACTGCATCCAAATGGCTGATACGTGTCACCCTTGAGGTTGTGTTTTCTTAATTCAGCAATTGCCAGTGTTCCAGGGGAGGACAAAGAAAATGCTTTATAGGCACTCTAAAGCCCCTTGAAGCACTGCTTTGTTAATTGGGTGGCATTTACTGCCAATTGTCAAAATTGTTGTCCATCAAGCTGTGTCACGTTTTGAGTCTGGATACCTTAATGAGGGGAGAGAGTGGTGGCAGAGAAGGAAGATAAATCTGCGCTCTGAATTTCACTAACTCATAGGATGACCATCCCATATGGCCCAAGATCTGCTAGTTGAGAAGCAGCCTGTTCAGTTACATAAAGATCTCCAGCAGACTCCTGCAACTCTGAGTAGACATAATCCTCAAATTGAGGGACAAGTTATTAATACAGTGCCTGTTAACCTTTTGGAGGCCAGAAATTGAATACTTTAAACTGTGGTATCTCATTTCTTCAAGAGATATAATGCAAGTTCTTTATTCAAAAAGGGAGAGAGACAGATAGCAGAAAACTATATAAGAACACCTCTCAGAGGGAAGTTGTTCGAACCTATTGTTAATGATGTTAGTAGTCGGTTCCAACTTTGAAGTATTCAATGGGATTAAACAAGGTTTTTAGGAAGGAAAATCATGCTTAACCAGTTTATTGGAGTTGTTTGAAGAAGTAACATGCTGTAATAAAGGAGAGCCAGTTGATGTACTGTATTTGAATTTCCAGAAGGCATTTGATAAGCTGCCCCACTAAAGGGAGGAAAATAAGAGCTCGTAGTGAAAGAAATAATATATTTGCAGGGATAGAAGATTGGCTAGCTAACAGGAATCAAAGTACGCATAAATGGGTAATTTTCTGGTTGGCATGATGTGACCAGTGTTGTGCCATGGAGATCAGTGCTGGTGCTTTGACTTTATAAGTTCATAAGTTCTTCAGATATAGGGCCATTCAGTGTATCGAAGTCTGCTCTGCCATTCGATCATGACTGATATGCTCCTCATCCCCATTTTCCTACCTTCTCCCCATAACCTTTCCACCCATTACCAATTTAAAAATCTATCTAACTCATCCTTAAATTTACTCACTGTCCCAGCTTCCACCACATTTTGGGGTAGCAAATTCCACAGATTCACAACCCTTTGGGAGAAGTAGTTTCTCTTCAACTGTTTTAAATTTGCTACCCCTTATCCTAAGACTATGATCTCTCATCATAAAATGCCCCACAAGAGGAAGTATCTGCTCCACATCTATTTTATCTATACCTTTTATTGTCTTGAATACCTCAATTTGTTCTCCCCTCATTCTTCTAAATTTCAGAGAGGATAAGCCTAAACTGTTCAATCTCTGTTCGTACAACAAACCTCTCATCTCTGGGATCAATCTAATGAACTGAACATTTATGCAATTTATTTAAATTACTTGAGTGAAGGATGCAAAAGTATGATTGTTAAATTTGCTGATGTTACAAAGATAGGTAGAAAAGTGAGTTATGAACAGGACAGAGACTGCAAAGGGATATCGATAATAGTGGACAAAGATCCAGTAAATTGAGTGTAATGTGTGAAACCGTGAAATTTTCCATTTTGGCAGGACGAATAAAAAAGCATTTCATTTAAATAGTGAGAAATTGCAGAATCTGAAATGCAGAGAGATCTGGATGTCCTAGTCCATAAATTGCAAAAGATTAGTGTGCAAGTACAAATAATCAGGAAAGATAAGATATCGTTTATTGCAAGGAGGGTTAAATACCAAATTGGTAAGGTTATAACTTCAGCTATACAGAGCATTGGTCAGACTACATCTGGAATACTACAGGGGTGCCCACCCTGTGGCCTGCGAGACTATTTCATATGATCCAACAGAGGGAAGGGGATGAGATCCGCACAATGGGAAAAGGCAATAAGTCGGACAACAAAAGGGAACTGCAATCCAACCATGACAGTGAGGGAGGAATGAACATCAGATTGCTTTTGCTAATTTTATTACTATAAACATGATTGATTAGTAAGCTTTTCACTGCTCTGATTGATCAGCTTTACAACATCTCCTTTTGGTCATCCATTCAGGCAACTCTAATTGTTTAATTGGGGCTTCTGGGGTGCATTCAGTTTGAACCTCGTGCTTTCATGGACATAGCAAAATGGGAATTATTGTTCAGAAGAATTAGTTTTAAAAATAGAAATCACTTTTTAATCAAACTGCATTTAAACTTCTCCAGAAAATAAAACTTTGCAACCTGCATTTCAACACAAAATGTTTGTTCCCCCTCCCTCCCAGAGAGAAAAAAATTGAAATGTGGTCCGTCGTGTGAAATGCTTGGACCATCATAGTGTGCGGTATTGTCTCCTTATTTAAGGAAGGGTATCTGGAAGCTGTTCAGAGAAGACTTATTAGATGAATACCTGAAATGGATGGGTTCACTTATGTGGAAAGATTAGACAGGCAATTTATTTGCTGGAGTATGGAAGAGCAAGAATTGATTGAAACATTATAGGGTATGAACAGCAGTACTGTGGAAAGGATATTTCTGAGAGAATTTGGAACTAGGAGTCTCTGTTCAAAAATTAAGAGTTGCCAATTTAAGGCAGAAATTTTTTCTCATAAAGTTGAGTATCTTTGGAACGTAGTGTAATCAGAGTCTTGGAATCATTTCAAGGCAAAACACACTTTTCGTCATTTATATAAATAATTTAGATGTGAATATAGGAGGTACAGTTAGTCAGTTCATAGGTGATGCTAAAATTGGAGGTTACCTCAGAGTACAATGGGATCTTGATCAGATGGGCCAATGGGCCAAAGAGATGGAGTTTCATTTAGACAAATGTGAGGTGCTGCATTTTGGAAAGGCAAATCAGGGTAGGACTTATACACTTCATGGTAGGCTCCCGGGGAATGAACAAAGAGACCTTGGAGTGCAGGGTCATGGTTCCTTTTAAGTGGAGTCACAGTTAGATAAGATAGTGAAGCATGCATTTGGTATGCTTGCCTTTATTGGTCAGTGTATTGTGTATAGGAGTTGGGAGGTCATGTTGCAAATGTACAGGACATTGGTTAGGCCACTTTTGGAATACTACGTGCAACTCTGGTCTCCCTGCTATAGGAAGGATGTTGTGAAATTTGAAAGGGTTCAGAAAAGATTTACAAGAATGTTGCTAGGGTTTGGAGAGTTTGAGCTATAGGGAGAAGCTTAATAGACTGGGGCTATTTTCCCTGGAATGTCAGAGCCTATGGGGTAACCTTATAGAGGTTTATAAAATCATGAGGGGTGTGAATAGGGTAAATAGACAAGGTGTTTTCCCCAGGGTGGGGGAGTCCAAAACTACAGGGCATAGGTTTAAGGTGAGAGGGGAAAGATTAGAAAGGGACCTAAGCAGCAACTTTTTCACACAGGGTGGTGCGTGTATGGAATAAGCTACCAGAGGAAGTGGTGGAGGCTGGTACAATTACAACATTTAAAAGGCATCTGGATGGGTATGTGAATAGGAAGGGTTTAGAGGGATATGGGCCAAATGCTGGCAAATGGGACTAGATTTATTTGGGATATCTGGTCGGCATGAACGAGTTGGACCAAAAGGTCTGTTTCCATCCTGTACATCTCTATGACATTATGACTCTAAGTAGATGGATTCTTGATAAGCATGTGGATGAAACTTTACCTTAGACAAGTGGGAATGTGAAGTAATCTGATCAGCGATGATTTTATTGAATTCAATCTTTCTTTTCTTCTTTTTGACCTCATTTGATTCTGTTTCACACATTCCAACTTGCCTTCTTCCTCAGTTGTTGCTTTCTCATATTCCTTAATTCTGTTTGATCAAGGAGAATCATGATTGGTTTCCAGATAAATGTTTTCTTCTATAGAAATATTATTTTTTAAAAATCAGATTTTATTAATGCCATGGAAAGCCCAACAACAGTGTTTTCCTTAAGTTCTAGCTGCTCCAATGATATTTGTAAGTAATACCATAGAGTTGCTCAGTTGTAAATAGTTGTGTTTTCTCAATGCCCAAGAGTCATTCTGGTGCTGGAAGTCTTTACACATGTACTGAGGATCAAAATTGGCCCACTTGTAGCATTGTTTTATCAGTTTGGTCAGCTCTGTAGATCTTGAGCTGGTCTGAAGTTGCACACTCTTACACAGTTTACACTGACAATAGCTTCAATTTAGCTCCACTAGCAAATATTCTTGGAATCTCTAATACCAGAAATAACAATGATAATCTTTTAACAGAATTGATGTTCCTATAAAAATTAGAGTTCTTTAAACTCATGTATGCTTTCACTTAGACTTTTCTATCTCTTACAATTTAGTGTAGAAAATAAATCAAAAAATGCATTTCATTGTAAGACCATACCTTTATTTGGCAGAAATATATTTAAAAAGATAAGCTCTTCTCTGTAAACTGAAAACAGCATTTTTTGTTGTTGTAGGTGACATGATATACAGTTGCACCACTCTAACTAGCTTAATAGAAGTATTATCCTAGAATTTGATCACCTTTTAAGTTTTGGTTGTCGTTACTTTCTCTCATTCATTGCCTCAAAAGGTTGGAGGATTGCTGTGTGATGGAATTATTGAATCATAACACTTAGGGAAAATGTGTGATTTGTGACCTGATTAAATTGCCACATCAAACAGGTGAAAGATAAGTAATTCACAAATTATTTTACTGAGGGAAACTCCAAGTTCCAACTAAGACGCAGTCCTTCCATTTCCTGGTTATGATTCATTCTTCGCATTTTTCTATCTGAGTGCTCACATTCTGTACAATGTTACTTGATTTTCTCAGGTATGATGAAATCTTTGCATTTTTCTATCTGAGTGCTCACATTCTGTTACATTCTGTACAATGTTACTTAATTTTCTCTTTTGCAGGTATGATGAAATGGGTGTAATATTCACAATTGTCATCAGTGACACCACACTGGAGAATGGCTTAGTACAACTCAGGAACCGAGATACTGCTATTAAAGAACTGGCTCACATTTCAGAAGTGAGAGATTTTCTCACCAAGTACATTCAAGAATCTTGAAAAATGGCTATACATTTCCAGTAGTGTGTATATGGATGAAGAAAAGTGTACTCATAATTAACCAGGCTTATAATAATGTCAATTATCTGAATGTTGAGTAACTGAACTGAAGCAATTTGAATTTCAGTGATGAGATTGCAAATTACCATTCAGCAGACTCTGATACTTGTAGCTGCTCTTTCTTATGGCAAACAATCTTGGTTATGCAATATTTATTGATATTCAACCAATGCTAGCTCCTGAGAGGTGTCTTATTATACTGTAGATGACTCCAGTTTTTTTCTTGGCCTTCTTGTGCTAATCATCTTTCTGTGTATGTCACACTGCTTCGTGGTGCAGTGTATCATTTATTTAACGAAATATTCTGGTAAATTTTCATGTTAAATCAAACATAAACAGGTTGATGGATGACAAAACCGTGATGATAATGAATGTTAACACACTTATAATGTGCTGAATCTTGAATTAGAATTATGACATTAAAATCCCTCATCAGATCTGCTGGTATTATAGTTGCACAACTTCGAAAATTGGATAAAACTATCTCTCTTGGCGATCCTTTGGATATACAAGTGGGGTCTACAAATTTTGAACCTGTAACCTTTTAGTTTTATTTATTCTTTTACAGGATATCGCTGCTGCTGGCAAGGCCAGCATTTGTTGACCATTTTGAATTGCCCTTGAACTGATTTAGTAAACCAGTTTTGCAATGTCAAATTTAATACATTGTAAAGGAGGTTCAATTTAATTTTCTCATCTGAAATTTTCATGCTCATCACTCTCAAGTATATTTTCTTGGGTCTGACAAATAATGTAACAAGAATGTTGAATATTACTTGCCATTTTGAAAAGGTTATAAATTTAAAAAGCCATTATCATGAGTAGAGACTGTGAATTATGTACTTTAAATATTTAGCGAACATGTTGGTCTCTACATTGGCACAGGTGAAGTTGTAAAATTTACACACTAATTGGATTAATCAGGGGAGATGGTGTTATGGTGGTAACATCAGAGCAGCATGCTGGCTCAGTGCTTAGCACTGCTGCCTCACAGCACCAGGGACCCAGATTTGATTCCAGCCTCGGGCAACTCTCTAATGGGTTTCCTCTGGGTGGTCTGGTTTCCTCCCACAGTCCCAGATGTGCAGGTTAGGTGAATTAGCCTTGGGAAATGCAGGGTTACAGAGTTGGAGCTGGGGGAGGGGGATGGTCTTCAGAGGGGTGGAGTGGACCCGATGGGCCAAATGGCCTGCGTCCACACTGTAGGGATTCTGTGATCACTGGACTGATAATTCAGAGCCTAGGGCCATCGCAGCTGTATATAAAATCCAGAATTGAAAGCTAGTCTCTGTAATGGTGACTATGAAATCATGATTGATCCTCATTTTAAAAAAGATTGTTTCACTAATGTCCTTACTTGGTCTGGCTTACATGTCATTGCCACAGCAATGTGATTGACCCTTAACTATTCTCTGAAATTGCCTATTAAGCCATTCAGTTCAAGGACAATAAGTAACTGATGGGCTTTCCAGTGGCACACATCCTAAGAAGGAATTAAGAAATTAATAAAGAACCATCTTTGCTTTGTGCATATATCTGTACTGAGTGGAGTTAAAGGATATAAGTTGCTATAATCTTTATTCTTCTCGCTTTTGAATCGTCTCAAACTTCAAATGTGTTGAATAATGATATGTTCATAAAGGTAGAGAGAGGGAAAAGTCAAACATTTCAGTTGTTCCTGCATCCCTAACCGTATTTCTGAAGATCTAGGAGCTACTTATCTCCACACATTGGGCAGTGGTAACAATGAGGACAATGCAAACATTTTTAAGCAGAAGTATGACTTGACAGATCAGATGACTTCTTATTGATTCAGCTATGATAAGCAATAATTGTGTGTATTTTTATGTATGTGGGTTCTCCATTTGAATTCATTCAGTTTTTATTTTGGGAGGCTGAAAAGTGTACTTTATAAATTCTATGAAGTAGTAAAGCTTTAACTGATTTATTAATAACATAATGAATGTAACATTCTTCCTTAACTTGCACACTATTAGAAAAGACCCTCCAATTAAAATTCAAGACAGTGCAGTAGGCCTAACCTCTGGCATGTTCTCCCCACATACTTCCTATTTCTTAGTCACTGTCTATTTTCTATGTTCCTCGTTGCAAAACAAAATTAACTTCACTTAGAGTCATAGAGCTGTACAGCATGGAAACACCCTTCGGTCCAAGCTGACCAGATATCCTAAATTAATCTAGTACCGTTTGGCCAATAACCCTCTGAACCCTTCCTATTCATGTACCCATCCAGTTGCCTTTTAAATATAATTGTACCAGCCTCCTCCACTTCCTCTGGCAGCTCATTCCATACGTGCACCACCCTCTGCCAGTAGGGGTCCCTTTTAAATCTTTTCCCTCTCATCTTAAACCTATGCCGTCTAGTTTTGGATTCCCCTACCCTAGGGAAAAGACTTAACTATTCACCCTATCCATGCCCCTCATAATTTTATAAGGTCACCCCTCAGCCTGTAATGCTTAAGGGAAAATAGCTCGAGTCTGTTCAGCTTCTCCCTATAGCTCAAACTCTCCAACCCTGGCAACATCCTTGTAAATTGTTTCTGAGCCCTTTCAAGTTTCACAACATCCTTCCTATAGCAGGGAGACCAGAATTGCACGCAGTATTCCAAAAGTGGCCAAACCAATGTCCTGTACAGCTGCAGCATAACCTTCCAACTCCTTTAGTCAATGCACTAACCAATAAAGGGAAGCATACCAAACCCATTCTTCATTATCCAGTCTACTTGGGTCTCCACTTTCAAAGAACTATGACTCTGCACTCCCAAGGTCTCTTTGTACAGCAGCACTCCTGATGACCTTTTCATGAAGTGTATAAGTCCTGCACTGATTTGCCTTTCCAAAACGCAGCACCTCACATTTATCTAAATTAAACTCCATCTGCTACTTTTTGGCCCATCTGCTCAAGGTCCCGTTGTACTTTGAGTTAACCTTCTTGTCTGTCCACTACACCTCCAATTTTGGTGGCATCTGCAAACTAGATACCTCCTATGTTCACATCCAAATCATTTTGTATAAATGACAAAAAGCAGTGAACCTAGCACTGATCCTTGTGGCACACTGATGGTCATAGGTCTCCAGTCTAAAAAGCAACCCTCCACCACCACCCTCTGTTTCCTACCTTTTGAGCCAGTTCTGTATCCAAGTGGTTAGTTCCTCCTGTATTCTATGTGATCTAACATTGTTAACCAGTTTACCATGCAGAACCTTGCCAACTGCATTACTAAAGTCCATTTAGATCACGTCCACCGCTCTGCCTTCATCAATCCTCTTTATTACTTCTTCAAAAACTCAAGTTAGTGAGACACAATTTCCCATGCACAAAACTATATTGACTATCCCTAATCAGCCTTTCCAAATACATGTAAATCATGTCCCTCAGGATCCCTTCCAACAGCTTGTCCACCACTAACGTCAGCCTCACCACTCTATAGTTCCCTAGCTTTTCCTTACCGCCTTTCTTAAAATTGGCACCACATTAGCCACCCTCCAGTCTTTCGGCACCTCACCTGTGGCTATCAATGATAAAAATATCTCAGCAAGGGGCCCAGCAATCAATTCCCTAGCTTCTTGACTGAACAACTTTGACATGTTCTGAGGATGCAAATTGCTCTGTTTTTCTTAGAGTATATGTTAGCATTTGTAGTCTGATTCAAGTGGAATTTTTCTTTTACTTTTTGATCTTGGTTTTCTTTTCATTCTTGCCGATGTACCAATTTTTGGATGCAAGTCACGTTTTTGTCAACCTTTGAGTCTAAATTTTTTTGACACAATAATGCTTTGTACCATTTTCAGCTGCAGCCTAGTTTTATAACTGAAGAACTCATTCTATACACTTTATGCCTGTAGCAAATTTCAAAAATTGTTGAATGGTCCTTGTGAGCAGAATTACTTCCTGTGCTGTTATAATTTTGAAAGCTTTTTCACTGTCAGGCACTTCTAAGGTTTTTTTTTTTAAACAATTATTTCTTGAAGCTAATATTTAATTGTGTCAGGGCCATCTAAAATGAAACACTACACCTTTTAAAAATGCTATAGACTGAAGCAAAATGTCTTGGTTAATTGAATAGCTGACATTGATTTGACACTAGTATACAGTATGTTAAATCCCACTGAGGAAGGGTCACCGGACCTGAAAAGTTAACTCTGTTTTTTCTGCTGCCAGACCTGCTGGGCTTTTCCAGCAACTTTGTTTTTGTTCTTGATTTACAGCATCTATAGTTCTTCGGTTTTTAAATCCCATTGGCATTTGATTACGTTTATTTGCTGGTATGCTTTTGGTGGTTCTGGCTCATTCTGCCAGAGCTTGAATGGTAAAGGAAAAGATTTTGGTGCTGATGAAATATTTTAGTCCCTTCAGCATCTACTATAGAAGTGCAAATAAGATGTATTGGAAGTTGATGACCAGTGAGAGTGAGCTAAGTAAGATTTTGGTTGTTTCTGAGAAAATTCCACAGTCTGCACTAGCGCAGTCATTGAGATGACCGATTCAAACATTGTGGCATTCGTACTTAGATAATTGGATTGGATACTCTGCGTTAGGTTACTGAAATTGTTGCTAGCCCCTGTGTTAGCACATGCCAAGAAATGCAGCATTATATGAGGTGTCATGTTGGATCATTTTAAATAAACCTTTTGTTCAATGTTTTTGATAATCTGTCATACAGAATGAATTATGGCAGGGGTTGAAAGTTTATTAAAGAACAGTAGATGCTGTAAATCAGAAACAAAAGAAAATTGCTGGAAAAGTTCAGCATGTCTTGCAGCATCTGTGGAAAGAATTCAGAGTTAACGTTTCAGATTGAGTGACCCTTTCTCAGAACTGATGAAAGTATATTGTTGCACCTAATAAATGGTCCACGACTGTCAATGACATGAACCAACTACATATTTTCAGTATAGTGTGATTCATGAGACTATTCAAAATAACCTGAAGTATCCTACAGCCATTTCAAAAAAAAAAATTTGCTGCTGTTTGAAACAAGAATATCTGCAATAGTGGAAACTTCCTTCTTGGAAATGTTAAGATGTTTAGAGCTGGCAATGGACATTGTGCCAACTTGCATGTTGTTGGTTTGCATTCCATTTAGAGATTAAAATGGCCACAAGCCACATGTTCAAGATCTGAAACTTTGATTCAATTCCTGCTCTTCAAAAGCTTTGTTCAAGGAGCAAATTGTGAATCACTTTGGGAATTTGTAAAAGTATTCAAGCCATTGGGGCAGTACTGGGTAAATACTGTTTTCAACATGGTTTCCCTTGGAAAGGAAGTGAAATACTTTCTTCAGCAATTGGAGATGCAGAAGGAAAGCCATTTGTTTCCCTATTGCCTTTAGCTGTCGCTCCCACATTCATCCTAACTAGTCTATAGAAAGAGGTAATCATTTTCAGATGTCAGTAGAGATGCTGTACTTTACTTTCTATTACTTTCAGAGATCACTTCTGAAATTCAACACTGCAGTCTTTGGATTTGCACGTTTACAGTGCTTGGTACTGTCCCTCAGCAATTTGACTATTCTGGGTGTACATGCCTACCTGCAGTTCCTAGTGTATGTGAACAGGTGCAAGATTTTGTTATGAAACAAAGAACTGTTATGAGGCTCTTGCAAGCTCTGGACATGGGAGACTCCATGGACAGCAAACTGACCATGACATCATGGTACAGAGAGCCATTCAACTGAGGGAAATAAATTGGATGAAAGTACGGATAGGAGACAATGTAATTGGTGGCTGTGGAGGCTTATTTGCAATCTTGAGCACAAGATTGTCACCTGCCCAAGTTTAGGGTTAAGGGCATCTTAGGGCTGGAGAGGAACTTGGATTGGAGGTGAGGGAAAGTATTTTTAAGACTGAGAATAAATTTTAAATGACTTTCAACATCTGTACTGACAATTCAAGTATGTTGATTTGTTCTGAAGTAAATTTCCTATTATGAGCCTTTTCTTTTGCATTATAGAATATGATGTCTGACTCACTAGGCTTCTCCGAATTCTGTTTCTAATTTTGATTAAACATATTGATCTAAAACCACATTTACTGATACCCTCATACACTGGTGACTTTTTAAAATTCTGTTGTAATATAAAAAATTACTTCTGTATTTGGAAAAAACCTATAGGCATTTTGGCCTTGGCCAGTGCGTCTTAGCTACTACTCTTAGTAACTACTCTTAGCTAAGATGCACTGGCC